GATAATGTATCTATCATCAATACATAACCTTTTTCTTTTCCAGAATCGATCCAGATCTGTGAAAATCGTCTAAGATTTAAATATTCAAAATGTAAAAGGTAATATAATAAGTATCATCAAACACATGCAAAATCTTTTTTTTTTCAAAATCATTTTCGTTTCCAGATCCGTCCAAGAAAATCGGCACACTCGTGCTGTAGACGATAAGTGTTGTAGAAGATAACGGCATCCCCAAGGGATGCGAATTTGGAAGGAAAGGGAGACGATCACCCTGCAACTTTTCACGATTATAATGGCAGATGCGGGGTACCAAACCGAGCCCCCCCATTTAACGTGGAGTGGTCCGACCAGTTGATCGGTTATTCACCGGTACGAAGACGAGGGATCGTGCCACGGCATCTACTCGACCGATCGTAAGCGCGGGAGCCTTCGCCACGAGGACGAAGAATTTAATGAGATGGCGAGAGAGGGAAAAATCTTGCCGGCGGAGGAGGAGGGTGAGTGACAGGGTCGAAGGTGAGTAGCCGAGCAAGGATGTGCGAGAGGACGTTTCCCATCTTCCTTCGATTCGCTTCCCCCCTTTCTTTCTTTCTTTCTTTCTTTCGCCTATTCTTTTTCCCATCGCGCGTTCGAGTTGAGTCGTCGACATTCCTTGGCACGTTCTCGATCCTTTCAGGAGGATGCTCTCCAGTCACCTCGGCAAAGAGAGAAAGTTGAAGTGGCCACGTAACAAAGGAGGGTAGGAAAATTTTCCAAGAAGCGTTTCCAAGATTCTCGAACGCGTAGGGGGAGGATTCGTTCGAGCAACAAAAAAGTGTATACTTGGAAAATCAATCGTTTGTCAAGGATGCAGGAAAGTAAGAATATATTTTGGATAATTGCCGTAACAGATCGTGCAATTAACTTCCTATTATATTCGTTTCAGAAAATACTCTTTCTAATCGAAATAGAGAAGATAATCTTCCAAGCGAGAGCATTTAATTTTGAAATTCAATTTCGTTACCATCTCTCGATGTTATGAGAGATTATCGAAGAGTTGTGTTCCCCAATTGATGCAATAGCCGTAGAAAGAAAGAAACGAGGGGTCGGTTAAAATATATATATATATATATTGTATATTCGAGAGCCCGTGGAGAATTCCCGTGGAAAGCACGCGTGGGCGAGATCCCAGGCGGGAGATAGAGTCCGGTGTACGCGTACAAAGAAGAGGAGTTCTCGAGAAGTTTCGAGGTAGCTGGAAGGGCAAATGGAACGCGAGGATCCGCGGAATGCCGACCGTCCGGCTGGCAATATCCTTGCCCCGTCCTATCTCCTCCCATTATCCTGCCGTATCTCAGCCGTACAACACATAGCCCAACTCTCCTTCTCCTCCCTCTTTTCGTCTCCGCCACGACGCGGCCTCTTTCGCGAGACACTCTCCCGCTTCGAACACCCTGCAACCGGGAGAAAATTATTGCATTCTAAAACGGAAACAATGAAATAGTTTTGTCGCTACCTTTCGGCTGAACGCCCTGCCCAATGAGAAGATAATGAATCACCGAATTCTCGTTACCGATGGATGAGATTTTAAGTGGAAGCGTGTCTCGATTACCGTGGGATTCGCAGAAAGAATTTTAGTAACTCGATTCGAAAACATTCTTGAAATATATATATATATATACACATACACACGTATATTTGAATGAAATAATGGAAACAGAGGGATTAAGAGCAAATTGATTCGTTAAAGTGGCGGAAAGTTTGTTGCAACTGTGAACTGGTTGGATTTACTTTTTTCGTTATATGACAAGGAAATATGATGGAAGCGATGCGGACGAAGATGACACGGTAAGGTACGGTAAGGTACGGCACGAATCCACAAAATCGAACCCTCTTAGATCCTATTCCTGATAGAGCCAGAGTTATTCATTGGAAATTATGCAATAATGGTAATATGTTATATTTATTGGATATTTTAAATGATATTTTAAAGTTCAATACGTTTAACGTTGTTGTATTTCTAGGCGCAAAATATGTTTTTGAAGGAGCTTATCATGCTGGATAAAATTTTAGAAATGCAGATCAGAAGATCTCGCGAGACGAGAGGATGCATCTCATATTGCTTGCTTTCACGGCCATATGACCATATGTTAAAAATGCTCTTAAAATGCATCGAATTCTTCTTCAACTTTCGACGAAAGATTGGGAAACGAATATCACAAATTATAAATCGCAATATATATATATTCAATTCAAAAGGATAAAATCGCTGATAAAGATTAATTTTTCAGGTTTCAAAGTTGCCAGAGTGGAGGAGTAATGGAAACTGCGGAGGAGAAAGAAATTGCGAAACGATAGAGATAGAGTGGAAAAGGAATGCAAAGTGAACGAAGTGATAGTGAAAATGGGAAGGTAGAAGGGGGGAGGAGGGAGGGGGAGGGGGGAGGGGGTGAGCGAGTTCCAAAAACCTAAGAAGAACATCATCGATCGCAGCTGTCGCGTTCGCTCCGCACCTGCTATTGTCCGCTTGCCTTCCAGTCGACGACAAGTGAGAGAGGGAACGACCCCTTTCCTTTCCCTATATGCAGCACGAAACAGTGTACGAGCGTGCGCGCGTGCATGAAGGTGTCGTACACGTTGCCCGCGTAAACTTCGGTCCACGTGTCATTGCGTTAAGGCCACCTACTAGTTTTCACGCGCCTTCCTTTCGTCCACCCTTTCTCATCCCTTTCTCTCCTCCTTCGCTTTTCTCGTCGTCACTCTCATTTTTTTCAATCCTTCTCTCTGCTCGTCGCTTTATTTCTCCCTCGACATGCGACGTCGAATTGTTCTCCGAAATGGTCGATAATCACGCGTGAAATGTTTCCCCATCCATCGTTTTATTATCTTTGAACGATTTTACATTCTGATTTTATCCAGAGATCTCACTTTCATTTTTCATTTTCAATTTAGAATAATTTTTAGAAATTACACTGCATTTACCTTTTCATTGTTTTATGTATCGTTTTTCCAATTTAATATTAATTAAACTTTGTGATAAATTATTTTAAAGAAGCTAATGTATATATTGATAACAAAGAATAATGGTTAATTATTGTGATTAATCATTGCATTAATGCATTCTCTATATCTTCAGGATACTTGATATATTTGATATTTTGTCAAAAAAAAAAAAAGAAGAAAAGAATAGAGAGACCACAACCGTCGTCCTAATCAATTTGGCCCACACTCTGGATTCTCTCGGACCAAAAACGTGACCACTGTCCAAATGACAAAAAATCCAAGACACCCCGGTCCCAAAAGAATGTAGAGTACTCGAGCACATAGAAATTGTGAATGGAAGAATGAGTCACAAAGGGGGTAGATATCTCGAAGGGTAAATCGCGTACCCTTAGGAAGGGTGCCAACTGTTCGCCGCAACACTTGCGCGAACACGTAACCGCGAGGGAATTTCGATGGATTTCACGTCAGTCAAGGGATCCGCGATGCCCAGGGGCGTTTTGCACCGAGAGCAAAATCCCATGAGAAACGGACCAAGTGGTGTAATAGAGGGAGGAGGTCGTGGAGATCTGTGAAAGAGTCAGTCGGGATTAACAATGTATCGATTCGAGGGGTGCGTCACGAAAAGTCATTTTCATCTGGCCTTCCGAAAGTTTTTCGCTTAATCCTCTTAGTCGTATATTCATCCGATATTTTAATCTAGAATCAGTATATATTTCTCAGCGATTTAAGCTTAAGAAAAGTTTTGAATGAGAATTTTAAACTTTGTGTAGATAGAGAAATTACTCAAGAATCTAAATCTAAATAAAATTCTCTTTAACGTGTTTTAAATTATAAATAAGGATTCAATTAATAAATTGTTAATTCTCGTTGTTAATATTCGTCAATTGCAATAATAGATGCGTATTAATAATTTTTTTTAATCAGCATATTATTGCATTATATATAATGTTAATATTTAAATATTCATCAATAAACATTACATGGTTTGATGTATCAGCAAGAAATCTACTCATTCTGTTACTCAAAATGATTCAATTTACATTTTTGTACATTTTTCAAAAAAATCCTTGACAGAATATACAATACTCTAATAATACATTTTCATTTTGTAATAGATTTCGGCCTATCGTCGTTTGGAATATCGAGTGGAAAGAAAACTATCGTCATTAATGAGTACACTTTCTTTCTCAATACTTGGCATTAATAAACACCTTCTTCAATGAGAAATAAATCTAATGAACACAATACTCACCATGTTGTAATGTTTGATCGTTTAAAGTAGTACTGGTTGGAGATAAAGATGCCGGTGATTGTGGACTACTTCCAAGACCTGTGGATGGTGGATGAAGTAGAAGGAGACCTCTACCTTTCCCACCAACGGGTCCTCCTCTGCGAGAACCACGAGGTCTTCCTCTTTTGCTGGTACCACGAATTGTAGGCCTTATTCGAACACTAGATCCACTAGTGAAAGACATGTGATGATCGAGACGATTGACTTTAGTTGGATCTCCAAATTGAGCCGCTCGTGATTGTCGAGTATCACCAGAGGACGCTCCCACTGGACCATCGACATCAACAACTAAACCATCGTTACTCGTCTCATCCTGAGCATATCAAAAGATTTAAGATTTATTATTTTTCTCATCATTTTTTTTTTTATTAATTTAACATGTTTTCAAATTACATTAATACATACCTCCGATTTAATAGGACTGGTTGGCACACTGTAATCGTCTGCATTATCGAGAATTTGTTGATGATTGTTAATTTGATATGATTGAACACCAGTATTAGCTTGACTACTTTCATTAGAATTAATTTGAATAATATCCCCAATCTTGTCTCCATTTGCATCAGATAGACAAGGCTTCTTTACATCACCCTAATAAAAAATAAAAAAAAAAAAAGCATTAAAGACAATAGAAATTAAAAAATAAATAAATAATTAGAATTTTATTGATAATTAACAAAGTGAAAATGGAAAAAAAAATAATAGTTCTAAGGACGCTTAACCGGACTCACTTTAACCGGAAGCGCGGTTAACTTCCTTTTCCGCTCTCTCTCCTTGTGGTATAAGTTCGACTCGAAGCGGGCATCCTCCGCGTGTTGTTTTCTCTCCTCGCTCCGTTGACTATCTGAAATATATGGACACAAACTTGTATAAGGGGACGTTCGTTATTCCTTTTCTTATTATTATTCGTTATTAGAGCATTAGCATAACCTAACGAGCATAATGTAATTGCAACCATGTTCTCTTTTTTTTTTTATTTTTTTTTTCTGCTTCTCTTTCGTTCCATCTTATTAAATGTATTTTTGTATTTCAGCGCATATCCCGCCACAAGAATACAACTAAAATTTCGCTTCAGCGAGCAAAAATGCGATATAATGTTCTCTATTTGAAACTTTTAATTCAGTGAGATTATTTGTTTTATAATAAATCTCACAGTTCCATTTATTCATTCCATTTCTATGAATTTTGTATCTAATTTATTGAAAATAAATAATAAACTCATATAATCATCGCAATCGTAGATAGAATTTAATAAAAAAACATTTACATTTTGCTTCGATTTCCTCGTCATCTAATAAAAGGGAAACAACTTCCTTAGGCTTCAAAGTATCTGGTTTAAAATTTCCTCCACTAATTACCATGCGTTGTATCTGCAAAAATTTAAATTATATTTTTTTTATTTTAAAAATAAATTCATAAAAATAATTTTATACTTACCTCACTTTTTTCTCGAGCACGTTGTAATATCCTTTCCTCGATAGTACCTTTGCAAATTAATCGATATACCGTAACCTGTTTCGTTTGACCTAGCCTATGGGCACGATCCATAGCTTGCTGATCCACTGTGGGATTCCAATCGCTATCGTAAAAGATCACCTGTGGAATAAAATTTATTTCCATTGAAATTAATTATGAAAAAACTTATAAATCTATTTCAATAAAAAAATCTTTTAAAATCTACAAAATTAATGGACAAAGTAATAAAATATCTATTTTGCGTGACATTTTAAATACGGGTATCTATTTTCTCGATATTCAAACGAAGGCATATGCAAATATGTTCTATCAGCAAATGAATGCCTGCAGTCTAGTGTTCGTGCACTTTTGTATGTAATAGAATGCAGTTTCGGCAATGCAGAGGAACGACTAAAAATCTTTATCGATTCTACTTTATGATATCACTTTATTTATTACTTTATGATATCACTTTGCTCATGATTAAAATATATCTTAATAGATTGATAAAATAACAAAGAATAAATTTATGTAAAGAAAAATTATGCAAAGAAAATTTAATAAAATTAATTAATTATCTCATCAATAAATATGTTCGTACACTAACAAAGATTAGTTTATTTAATTATTGTATCAGAAAGTCGTAATAATGTATTTTTGTAAATGATATAAGAATCATATATAAATCTATCTTTCATTTCAATAAACTTGAAAAAAAAAAAACAAGCAAAAAATGTATTATGTGTATATATATTATATGTATATAGTTATTTTTTGTTATGTATAACAACAATATAACATTATAGCCAATATTGAGTCAATATGACATTAAGCAAAAGTTTTGTTAAATTGATGATTATAGATATGAATTGAATTATCGTGATTAAATCATTATTCATTATGAAAAAAAAAAAAAATACACAATTTCTCATGCATGTTTTCTTTTTCGATCAATTAAATTTTGATTATTTATTCTGGACATCGAAAAAAGAAAGAAAAGTCGAACGCTTGGCTTCGTAGCATCAGAAGATGAATACATACAAGGTACGAACTAATAAAGCATGGGATAAGATTACTAACTGTGTCTGCGGCAGTGAGGTTTATTCCCAGGCCTCCAGCTCGGGTACTCAACAGAAAGACGAATATGTCCGCCCTGAAACACGAAACAGTTCATGTAGATCGAATAGTCGAGTACAACCCGTCGTTTTGTATGTAAATTAATTCGGCACGCTGGTGGTGCACTTAAAGGACTTCTAATGCAAAATACATATGAATATATTTTATCGTTTTCAGAATTTCGTTGATTAGATTCTGATTTGAACGTGACAAGACGCATAGATATTTCAAATAAAATGTATAAAAAGATAAGAATAAAATGTATAATGATAAGAAAAATGATAATGATCAGATGTTATTAGAATGATATATTCATGAATAGCAAAGTTACAATTATTTATGAGATAGGAACGATTCATCAATTAATTCGCATATTAATTATGTACAAATGAATGAAGGAATGACATATTAAGAAGCCGTGCTTTAAATACAACACGATATGTTGTATTGATACATATTCTAAATAATATCACGAAAGAATTCGACACTTTTTTAGATCGACAAATTCTAAAATTTGATCTAAAATTTTTTTTGTATCGCATTGTATTATCCAAAGAAATAATAAAAAAATATTAAATTACCTTTTTTGAAAATCTGCAACCATATCTCGTCGGTCAGAAATTTTAGAAGAACCATCTAATCTCATAAATGTATGCTTTTTATGATACATATATTCCTGTAATAAAAACATGATATAAAATTTTATAAAAATTATTTCATCAAATTTAAATAAAAATACCTCTAACAAATCGATCATTTTAGTCATCTGGGAGTAAATAAGGACACGATGACCTTGTTCTTTAAGACGACGAAGAAGACTGTCTAAGACGGAAAGTTTTCCGGCATCTGTCACCAATGTTTGTTTATCTATAAAAATATTATGAAAAAAAATATATATATACCAAACACATAAAAAATATAAAATGGATATCTTAAAAAATGTTTACCTGGTACTATGATATTTGACCATCCATTTATGGGAGTACATGCAGAAATTCCACCATTTGGTTCCACAGAAAATGTTGATGTCGTCTGTGTCATACGAAAATTGGAATTCTCTTGTAATGCAAGAGAAAGAGCTCTTTCACAACCAAGCCAAAGAAGTTGTTGACCAAATTTTCCACCACATTCTTCATGTCTTCTCCATGCGCATGCTGCAGAGCTATTGCTAACATACAGTTTTCGGGGACTAGCTTGTACCTAAAATTAATTAATTTATTATATTGTCTTATATTGTTTTTATTATATTATCTATTATTTTAATTCTCATATATATTAAATTAAAAACCTTAGGATAAGTATCGCAAATAAAAGATGGAATGGTGGTTCGTTGACAATGTCGTATTATCGGTGATCTAGGAAGATGAGGATGTTCCGGTAACAAAGTTACTTTTGTATCTTCTTGTTCAGCTTTGTTTAAAGGCATTATTCTCTATAAAAAAAAAAATATCTTATTTATTTTTGTCAAATAAATATTTAAAAAATGAAAAAATCCATAATAATTCTAAACCTTTAATGTTTGATTAGCAGCTTTTTTACTGCTTCGTAAAATTCTATGAGCAACAGTTTCTGGCATTGAATGAATAACATGAGCTGTATGTGTATATACAGGTTCTCCTTCGAGAATTTTTCTTGTGAATATTAAATCTTGCAATGAACGCATCGAAGAGTCAATTTTTCTAGATAAAAGAAACATTTGATTCATAGGAATTTCCGTCCTTTCATCAGCATTCCAATCCTCCCAATAACGCATTATTTTTATTCTTCTTTCCATTATAGTTGCAAGACATAATCTAAATAAATAATAAAATAATAAAATAAAAATTATAAAAAATGTAATCTACTATATATTCAATATAAAGAATTATGTACCTAAATAAAATACCAATGATAAACACTTTATTATTTCCATTGGAGACAAGTTGATAAATCTACTAAAGGAAAAAGAATTTTGTAATTTTTCGTTGCTGTCATGAAGAGTTCGATGTATATATTCAGTAGCAAATATAAACAGCTTATTATAAAGCAAATGATCTTTAGACGGCAATGAAAGATATCTAAGTCCTTCTGTATATAATAATATAGGCATTTCATAACATTCAGTATGCATGAAAAATGGAGATTTTGCATCTCTACGCTCAAAAAGTTCCGGATGATTGCAAACCTAAAATTAATGAAAATTAATATTAATACGAATATCGTATTATTTTAAGATTAATTAAATTTTATAAATATTACATACTTTTCGAAATTGCATGACTAGATTCATAAGATTTGATGTAAAATTTTTATCATTAGATGCAGTATCACCACCACCGACTGTATAATGCAATAAATCTTCTATTCTAATTTTCTTTTTTAATGCTGTCAAAAAAAAAAAAAAATACATTTAATACAATAATTTTTAGTGTTATAAAAAATATAATTTTTTCATATAAAAACATCATACTGTTACCTGAATAAAGTAATTTTTGACGAGTAGTAAGAGGACAGTACACCATCACTTCAATTTTATCAGATAATTCATTCTCTACATCTTTCTTTATTCTACGCAACATAAAAGGCTTTAAAATCATATGTAGCCTTGATAAATGCTCTAAATATAAGAAAAAAATATTAAATTCGAAATATTATTCTATTATATCATACAAAATTTGTGAAATAAAAATATATTACTCTCATCAATTCCCGTTTTATTTTCAGCATGACTTTCAATATCTTTAGAAAACCATTCGTTAAATTCATCATGAGAATCGAATAAAGTAGGCATTATAAAATGTAACAATGCCCATAATTCTGCCATACTATTTTGAATAGGTGTTCCGCTTAATAACAATCTATTACGACAACTGAATCCAAGCAATAATTTCCATCTCATACTATAAAAAACAATATTAAAGTACTGTTTTTATAAAATGTAAATATAAATGAATAAACACTAACCTGCTAGTGCTTTTTATAGCTTGTGCTTCGTCTAAGATCATATATTGCCATTTTATTCTATTAAAATATTTATAATCTGTAATAACTAATTGATAGCTTGTTATCACTACATGAAATGAAGCCTCTTTCGTGTGTAAATCTTTAGTATCCCAAAATTGTCTTAATATTTTTCGTTCTTGTGGATTACCCCAATATGGAACTACTTTAAACATTGGAACAAATCGTGCCATTTCTTGCTGCCAATTATGTAATGTTGAAGCCGGTGATATAATTAAAAATGGCCCCCATACAGCTATAAAAAAAATATATTTACTAAATTACTAATACATTTTTAAATATTTTTGAAATACAAACATATTGAATAACTTACAATATCTTTCGGCAACATGACATAAAAAAGCTATGGATTGTACAGTTTTACCCAAACCCATTTCATCAGCCAAAATACCGCTAATACCCTAAAGAAAATATAAAAAATATTTATGTACACATATTATTTCACAATTTTATGATATTATAATCTATTAATGATTTAATATAGACCAACCTGATCATATAAATTAGCTAACCAATTCATTCCTTTTAGTTGATAACCTTTAAGATTTCCCTTAAAAATCGAAGGTTGTGGATGTTCTAAATTTTCGGGTGTATCACTAAGACGTAATTCTTGAGATGCAGCTGCTGTATCAAATTGTTTTGCTCGAGCTTTTTCATTATCAAATGCTTCTGTAGCATTCTTTTTTGCTTTCTGTTTCATAGCTTCACTGTTAGTAAATAAATAAAATTATAATATAGTTTCACTTACCAAAACATGCATAGAATAAATAAAATGCATATAATTAATAAACTTACCTATCATAATCATCAATTCCAACAAGTCTTGGATTTTTTTCTTCATCTAATTGATTTAAAATTCTTAATTGTTCTTCAGGAGAAGCTTTTCCTAATTTTCGAGACATAAAATGAGCATAAAGTTCAGTTTGTGTAATAAGAAAATTTAATTTCCTTTGTTGCCGTTTTGCCTAAATTTTTAAATAAAATACATTTAAATATTCTTATTAGGATTAAAACATATTATTTTTTAGCATTAACATATTATAAAAATATCTATTATTAATTACCTCGATAAGTTCGACATCCATTTTTCGCTGTTCTTCAGCTTCTTTTTCTAATCTTCTTCTTGTTTCACGTTCAACTCGATCATAACGTTTCCAATAAGATTGCATTTCTCTTGTGAGACGTTTAGCTCTCCATATAGTCTCTTTCATGTTCTTTTGAGACTATAAAATGTAAAATTTAATTAAAAATGTAAATAATATATAGAAATAAATTTAAAATTATGAATAAATTAAATTAAATAATTAAATAATTAAATAAAATAATAAGAAAATTAAATAATAATGTATCGATACTCACTTGCATAGCTTTTTGTCTCCAATATTTCATACAATGTTGTGCTACTTTTTTACAACTAATTAACATTTCTTTATGATTATTGGTTTTTGCTCTTTGTACTTTTCCTAATTCTTTTTTAGACATCATTACCCAAATCTTTCTTCTTCTCATTGCCATTACTTCTGGACTTTTATTGTTATGTTTTTTTCTACCGCGCTGACGAGGTTGATGACGCATTATTGCTTCCAATTCAGCTTCATCTAATTCCTCTTCTCTAGGGATAGTACGATCCCAATCTTCATCTGGATAATCGCCTTCCTAAAATATTTATAATAACATTCTATCTCTGAAATATACCACATTAATTTTTATTTTACATACAGGATAATCTTCAGAAGATCTATGACGCGATATCTTTTCTTTTTTTATTTTCATAACTTTCTTTTCTGGTTTCTTTTCTTTTTTCTTTTTATTTCCAACTATTAATTTTTGATGTTCTAAAAATCTGTCATAATTGGATAACAAACCAGCACTATAGTATTGATACTGAATATTCTGAAAATAAAAATTTCATTACTATTTATTCTAAATTAATTTTACTGATTTTAACTTAAATTTTAGTCTCACTTCTGGTTTTTGATAAAAACGTGCTTGATATTTTTTCCTAAGTATATGATACTTCAACATTTCTTGAAAATCTTCTTCCGTAATGGGATTATCTGTATCAGACCCTGAAGCAGAACTATCTGACGAATCACTTAATAAAATATCCTGTAACCAATGTCGTTCTTCTCCCACACTTGTCATGTTATAGAGTCTCAGTTTATTTATTCTTTCTTCTGAAAAATTAATAATATTATAAGTATTATTAATAAATATAAATATTATACAAATAGCAAAATAATTATTTTTAAAATATTAACAATTTACAGACCTTCTTTTCGAATCAAAACATTATCGAGATAATTATCTGATCCTTCAGAAGATTCTGATGATACAGATTTATCATCCTCACTGTAGAAATTAATGAAGTAGTAATGTTTTATCAGATTCATATTTTATTATAAATAATATATTTTTTTATTATAAATCATATTTTATTAAATATAAGAAAAATCTACCTAGTTGGGTCTTGAAACAATTCATTAATTTGCCTTAAAAAAGGCTGTACGTTAAGACTACGCTCTAATCTTTGCAAATGCAAAGGAGCAGCCATTTCTGCTTCCAACCTCATTGTGTGTGCTCTATCTGTCATTACCAATTTATATAAAATTCAACAACCTACAATAATGAAATTATATTGTCAATAATAAATAGTTGTAAATTCTTCATTATTATAAGAAATCTACCTTTTATATTTTTTGTTACATATTATATACATAGATCTTATATCAAAGAAAAGCTATTTAAAAAAAAATTTTAAGAAAAATTATTTATTTAATAAATCACTTAGTGAAATTTATTTAAAATATTAGTATCAGTAGACCCGTTGTCAAGGAAACAAATACTTTATCTGCAAGAGTACGAACCTAATATGACCCTGTGATTATTTGACATTTCAATAAATATATTAAATGGTTTTGGTGATACATGTTACATAGACGACAGGAAATTTTTTATATAATTTGTACGTAGTATGTAGCAAAATAAAACATCTATCTTGTGCTTTGTATTAATAAAGCATATAGGATTTTGCTTCTTATTGCATTGCCACAATGCTAGATTGTTTATTTTCTGTTTCCTGTAACGGGTAATACATGTTAAAGGCATGTAACCGCCGTATGGAATTGTATGTAACCAATTACATTATATAAGGTGAATGACACGACGAATCGAGCTTGTGCGGTTATAATTTCGCGAAATATTCGATAGTTTTGGATCACCTTCGGTTTGGTTAGAAGTAGCCCCACTTATTTAGCACGTAAGATAGGGTCGATCGCGAGGAAATGATTCCCTTTGTTCACATCGAAATTGGGTGTATCAGACGGAGGGAAATACATAGTAGAAAGAAGCCTAGAGAACGCAGACATTTGGCGTGCCATAAAACCAGGGCAGGGATAGGGCATATTGTTGGCCACCATTTTTGTTTTCAATAGGTGGCGCCAGCTTAATCAACGTATAGAAGATCCATAGCTTTTCCAACGTTTACTGAGGACAAAATAATTTTATTATTTATATAAGTACATATAATATACGAATATATTTTTTATTTGTATCTTAAATAGATAATATTATATCAATTATATATTATTTCAATGTTTTAATAATATTCGTTACCTAAAATTTATTTTATTATACATCATGAATTTAATATGCAATTAAGTAATAAATAAAAAATTGTAATTCAATTTTAAAGTAAAAAAATTTAATTTATATTATTTCTTATAATATTTGTATTATATTAAAATAAATATATCTTTAATTATTTCAAATTATGAAACTCAGTTTAAAAGTATTATTGTTTAAATATTATTAGCTTTCAAATGATTATTCGAATATCCCGCTCTATATGACTGCGCATATTATGTCGCATGTGAATTATATTTGCACACATTTATGACTGGCAGTTAATATAATAAAAATTATTAACAATTGTACTTATATTACGATAGTAAGTAACAATTTAAGACAATGAATAATTATAAACTTTATTATTTTAAACGTAGTAAATACGTAACTTATTCATAGAGAAAAATTTTGCTAGAGAGGGGATATTAATTTATACTATAATACATGAAGAAATATTAGTTTATATTATATATTAAATGTAATAATATTATATTACTAGTAAATAATAATTTTATATTATTATATAAGATTTACGCAATTTATTTTAAATAATAAATTTCTAATTCTAGGCGTCTGGTATCGAGACATAAACAGCTAGCGACTTTGTTTTTCGTTGTGTGAACCCCGTTTTGTTTCCGTTATTGCAACGAGCCATCTTACTTCAGACGCCGATCATTACTTCTTCTAGTAATTTCAGTCGTGTCGTGTCGTGAGAGCATAAGCTTTTAGTGAACAAAGCAACATTTTTTACGTATATTCAGGTAAGTTTGTAAACATTTTTTTTTCTGTGATATTATACATGCATTAAAAAAGTGATTTGTTTGCAAATACTTTGTTTTTCGGATGGAATAATCATGAATCATAAATGCCTTCATATCATATCATATCATGATGCTTTAATGATAATTTATAGATAATAAAAGAAAAAAATTTAAATTGTAATTTTCAATCGTGATTCAAATTATTCATTGCATATTTTTGTATTATATTAATGACGTGGCAAATGCTTTCCAAATGCTACGTCGTATGATTGATCGTTCACAAGATCTTTCTTTTCATAATTAATATAATAAATTTTCAATTTTATACATATGATACATGCATATATATAATTATTTATCTTAGATATTATCTTGTTCTATAATTAATTTATAGCTCTTCTAATTTAGCGTTATCGCTAATTTTTGCGTCATATTAATAATTTTCGAGAGGCTTCCTCGATTACAGAAAAAATAATGTTTTGCTATAAATATAATTATTTTATATAAACGCATTATGTTTTTATAAATACAGTTTTTATCTCCATATAATCGGTAAATTACGTAGCAGAAAAGGAGGACGATAAGCAATCACACGACCGCCATTTTATGAAACGAGTGTCCAATAAAAAACACGGTTTGTCGCTGGTGCTTGAAATATACTACATTTTTTTAGATTAAGTCCCACTTATTACATAAAAATATTAATTTCAAAGAACAAATTAAAATTTATAAAAAAATACATAGCTCTTAATCTTCAAAAGAAATTGCGGTAGGTAAAGGAAGAAACTTTCAACGTATGGTATATAACGGTATACTAACATAAAGTACAATCATACTTAAAATCTTTTAATAAATGTATAAAAATACCTTCTTAATAATATATAAATAAATAGATGCAATAATTTTATAGTACAGAAGTTTTAAAGATTAATGCTTGGATGATAAATGTGTCTATAGTATATTGAAATAAAGTTCTGTATATTGCACATTGTTTTACATATTTTAATAATTTTTAACATTAGACGAGTTCGATATTTACAATCAAATTTTTCGCCTTATACTATTTTCTCTATTTAAAATAATTGAATATAAATACCGAACGCGACTAATGTTCATAATTCCTTAATACTTGCTTAAACACTTTTGGCTGAGTAAGCATGAAAATAAATATTTTAGTAGATAATAGTAATTTATCATTTTATCAGTGTGCAAATTAAAACACTTTTTGTTTGATTATATGTAAGCAAAGAATGGTTTGTTACCTACAAGTGCATGAGATGTGCTTAACATTGTTATAAATTATATTGCTTTAAACATATTTTTATCTTTTGGCTTAAAACAAATTATAAACTTAATAATTCAATAAGTTGTTCTAACTTTCTAAAATTTTTTGTACATTCAATATTGTTATATTATTTTATTAGAATTAACTAGATGTTATTATAGATATTAATGCTTTTATTTTTAGAATTATTTTTTGTTTTAATGTGGAATGAATATATGGCTTTGAATTGTATTACAGATTTTTGCATAAAATTTAGCATGTCATGTGATTATATTTATTTTTAATTTATATTAATGTAATATTTAAATATAATTTAAATTTTACTTATCAATGTATTGAATTTTTAATTATATATTGATCTAACATTTTAATATTTTAAACTTTTTATTAATCTATCATTTTAATTTATTTCATTAAGAATGTTCTGTATGATTGTTATAGAAGAATGTATGATGAAGTACTATATTCAACTATAAGGAATGTTAGGTTTGGGAAAAATATTGATATTATAATAGCATTTCTACATTGCACTTGTGATCTACTGCAGTCAGTTTAATATCCACAAATAATATTTTACTTGCAAAGCTTTCTTTGATATAGATTGCCAAAATACAGAAATATAAAATAAAGTTACAAATATCAATTTTATTGAGTTGCATTGCCATTCTCAGCCAGAATATTGGAAATTAACATAACAGTACTTATGTTGTCATGTGAATAAATGACAGGTTCTTAAAGTAGCCTGTTATGTATGGTGTTTTTATATTTTCCTTTAAGAATGAGCACCCGAGTATTCGTTGGTGGATTAACATACCGGGTGAGAGAGCGCGACCTTGAGAAGTTCTTCCGGAAATATGGTAGAATCAAGGAGGTCGCTATGAAGAATGGATTTGCCTTTGTGGTAAGTCTAATGTGGTTCAATTGTTTTTTTTACAGTATGGTAGGGACAAGGGTCTATGTCGGTGGGCTTCCATACGGCACCAGGGAAAGAGACCTTGAGAGATTTTTCAGAGGCTACGGTCGATTCCGTGATGTCCTCATCAAGAACGGTTACGGTTTTGTTGTAAGTACTTGAATCAAATTTTATACACATATTTAACACTTTACTCTACTCAGTTTGGTCTTATTATTTATTAATGAATTTATAAAAAAAATTTTATTTGCAAGTTGAAAAGTCACGTATTACATTTAGCGCTCGAAAATATATCCATCTTCATTTCCACTAACTAGGCTTATGAATTATCGTCGTAACTAGATTATGAATTATAAAGTTGTTTGTGATATACATAACATTATGTTTAAGTTAAGTATCAATATCTTACGTTCGTTATCTTATCTTTTATTTTTATAATAACTTTAAACTATATTTAAATAAAATCTTGATATAATAACTTCTTCCAAGTTTTATTATATTTTATTATTTTATTGCTGACCAAAATGTGTAGAGGGTAAAGTGTTTTACTTAAAAAATAACTTGAACTCGTGAGTTGATCTGACCTACCTTGAGCCCTGAACACATTGGTACTGTGGCTGCTTAATGGAACTGTGTGCTGGTTTTCATCGATTAATCTACAAAATATTTGTAAGTTATGTATTATCAAAAGGAAATCGTGTTACTTACTTAATTGCCACTTACATTTGAGGTAAAAATACCAATTATAAAATTGAAAACCAAATTATGAAATCAAATAACTTTTTAAAATTTTCTGAATTAAATTTATTTAAATTACTAATTGAATTTTCTTCTTCTATAGATTATTTTATTTTATTAATATGACAGAATTCGTGAATTATTATTGATATTAATGATTGCAAATGCATATATTATACACTGTACTCCATACTACATCAATGAGATGCATTGAACAACATGAATTTTATACAATATTGCATGTAGAAAGTGAAACTGAGAAATTTTTCTTATACAATGATTTATGATAAATATATTTTGTTTACAGGAATTTGATGACTATAGGGATGCAGATGATGCAGTCTACGAACTCAATGGGAAGGAGCTTCTAGGAGAAAGGTAATAGACATTAAAATATCATATGTATTTCATACATATAAATATATATTAGAAATATGAAGAATGGTGTAGGTAGCATGATTTTTTTGCATGATTAGTTTTTTTCTTTATACTATGAATTTTTGTCCTTATTTATTCATATTTATAAATACTTGAATTTGTAATTTTCAATTACACAATCTGTAAAATAATGTGATTATTGAAAATTACAAAAGTTTATTATTTTTTATATTAAATTTTTTAAAATACTTTTTTATTATTTATTTACTATAGTTGTATTTTAAACATACATTAAAAGTGTAACATTAATATATTTCATTATAATTTTGATATAGTTTACACATATGTTATTAATTTTAAATATTCTTTAAAAGATTTTGAAATGAAAACATACAGTTTTGTTAATGTTGCACATAATGAGTAGGATTATACATGAGAAGCAATAGCATTGAAAATTTCTTTTATATATATATATATATATTTTTATTTTACTAATCTTTCATGCATTATTGAGTAAAGTGCTTTCGTTCTAGACATTTCCCAGTTATTTGCATTTGGACTTAAAGGTACTGTAGAGTTCTATTGGTTATAAAAAACCAATAATTAAATATCTTTGTTTACATATAATTTAAAAAATTAATATTATTTTTGGGAATAAGTCAATTATAAATTAGTTTAAAATTGTAAATAATATTTTTAAGGTTTTATTTTTCCTTGTTTATATTAAAATCCATATTTAAAATATTTA